CAGGTATTTAAATAAAGTTGGCCCTTTATTTAATGCGGCGGTTAGGTGTGCTGACCTCCTTCCCCTCTGAATGTACCCTTTTGACTCTCCCAAAACTTAACTACTAATAGACTACTCTTGACCAGAAGCTTTACTCGTAACATAGTCAATTGACATGTATTTTTATGTTATATGTATTATATGCCATATTCTTAAAGTAAGATAGAGAAAAAATGTTTTTAAGATAATCATAAAAATGAGAAAATATACTTCTTATTCATTAATTGGAAGTCGCTCATCCTAAAGGTCTTCATACTTGTCTTCTCTCTGAGTAGGAGGCAGAGGAGGACAAGTTGGTCTTGCTGTCTTGGAGGTGGCAGAGACAGAAAAAAATCTGTGTATAAGCATACCCATGCAGTTCAAACACGTATTGTTCAAGGGTCAACTATACTTTAACCGTATCAAAGTGGATCATTCAATAGCAAATAATGGACACTGGTCATCTTAAGACACACAGAGAAGGTAAAGGAAGGATATGATATGAGGGGCTCCCATAATTGGTAGTGGCTAGGGAAGCAGGCTTCTAAAGTTTAGCTGTCTTGCATCAGGTTGACTATCCCAGGTCTCTGTGATTGCCACTGCTCCTATATGTTGACTTTGTTAGTTCATTCTGCCTTCCATGGTGGCTTCCCATTCAGCAACAGGTTAGGTGATCGGAGACCATTCTCCAGCACCATGATACAAAACTTTAGTCCTGAGGAATCTCTATCTTTGTTTCTGTCATATAAGCTTGCAGTGGTTTTCTATTAACCCTTCCATTAGTGCTGGTCATAGACTGAATGACCAAAGGAGTTGCCTCAATTTCATGCACATTCCATCTTACCCTCATTATATAGCAGCAAATCAACCTCTTATTGATAGGTACAATAATGTTACCCACTACCACAATTCTGTTCAATCAGTGAAAGGAGCAATCAGAAGTGATGAAGTAGAATAGATCTTTTTCCTTGTTGAGAGTGATTGGCGCCAGTAACCCCCTTGGATTTTGGAAATTGCCATCAGATACTTCTGGTTGAGGCTGATTCATACACTTCATTTCTTAGTTCCAGGAACTAAGTTTTGGGAGCATTGCAAAACGTCCCTAATGTTGAAATGCCCCCAATGTCAGTAAGCCAAGCAACCACTGCTTGGGCAAATTTTACCCTTTCCTAAAGTAACTTCAGGATTTGAACATGTATTATCCTGAGCCTCTTCTCCAAGAGTTCTTCTTGGAAGTGGTGGGTGTCCAGGTGAGTGATAGGTGAGGGGGTGATGTTGGAGCCTTGAGGAACAGACACCAACATATCTTGATGGTTTTTCCTCACATCAGGACAAAAGGAGAGACTACCAACCTGCTCCTTCCTCAAGCTTCCTGGACTTTTTTCATTGCTCTTGTGGTTTGAATTATCTCATGTGCTTGTTTTCTTGGTTGCTCAGGTAAGCTTTGTGAGGCAGGGACCCATATGAGTATTCCTGTAGACTCTTTGTGTGGTTTCAGTCCAGTATCCTAAAGGAGAGTTATGAGTCAGGGACTCACCTGCAGGGGTGTGAGCTTGGCCGTAGTTGGAAAGACATAGGGCAAAGCCATTGAACCCATCAGGAGAGGACTAATATTACTCGATTGGCTGGAACTGTGGGGCATTCCACAAGGGGTAGAATACCAACATGCACTTTACTTGGTCTGCCACAAAAGTGAATTTGACTATAAAAAGGTTAAACAGCACTTGTAGACATGATGAAATCAAGCATGAAGTAAATGTTTCTTCATCTCTGCATAGTTAAAACATACATGCCTGTTTTTTCATGTTTTAGGTATGGACACATGCATACATATATGTGTATGCTTATTCATATTCACGTTTTTGACAAACAAGTTATCTTATATTAAGTTGGACATAATATTACTGTGAGTTGTACATGACTGCATATTCAGAAATGTTTTCCAGTAGTAACTAGCAGTATGGAACAAATTAAATCATATTTTCCCCTCTTTAAGTCAGTCAAAATATAACAAAATATATGTGTTAGCATTAAGTAAGCAAAACTTTGAGTTTGTCACGAGAAGCAAAATGAAGGGCAGAGCTGAGCAATTACATGGTGAATTCAGTCTAAGTAAACTGTCAATTTATAAATAAGAATAATAATAGTTGTTTTTAAATCTGTCCACTTTTCCTGAACTGCAATAATTACTTTCTCTCCTTTGACTTATGTAGATAATTACTTTAATTTTTGATTTTATTTGCTATTGTGTAGATAAAGTTTAGGCAAGAAAACTCTTGAAACACTAAAGTTCCATAATGGTTTCTTAGCTGTAAATGTAATAGACTCTATCTAAAAAATTGTATGACTAATATTTGTAAATATAAAAAAGTTTCTATATAATTATATTTATCTGTTTTAATTATCTGAAAAAAGTTAAAGGCAGAATCATTGAAATCTGTGCATGCTCATGCTTGTTTAGAATCATAATCCAATGCCCAGAGCTCCATGACTATTTCTTTGCAAGCTCCTAGTTCCCCCAATAATTTGAAGCCAGAATGCAACAGAGTTTTTTCTTTCTTTCTCCCTTTTTAAAAAAAAAATGTATGGCTTGCTCCTTTAGCATTATTTAGCTTCAAAACCAAATCCATTTTCTCTAATTGTCAATGGAAGCAGTGGGTTACCATAGTTACAAAGTAAGGAGTGTTATTGAAAAGAAGGGAAGACTAATGAAATTTTTAATGACAGATTCAAAGATATAAGGAAATTGCCCCAATAGGGAATTGGGAATTTATCAAGCTGCCAATCACAGTAATTACCCTGCAAACATATCAGTATCGGGGTCAGAAAGTCTTTTCAGACTTTCTATATACCAGTTCACAATCCCTCAAAATTTTGATCCCAATTGTGAGGCAGATCCTGTCGTGAATGCCTGTTTTCAATTAGTATGGATGCATGAGAACACACTTCAACAAAGATAAGCAGAGCATGCTTGGTGACTTGCCTTATATGAGAATTTGGTGTGGCTCCCTGGAGAAGGCCTGGTGTACATCAACTATGTGTTTCATTACATCACCATTTTCCCCTTATGTTAGAGAGTTGCTGCAGATTCATCTGTCAATGGTCCTACGGTATACTTTAAGAAAAGTATCATCCACCCACATGTTCAAAGACATATGTAGATACAAAATACTTGAAAAAAAGTTTAATACAGTAAGATTTGTGTTTACTGGGGGTGCATCAATAAAGAAGATATTGAAATACAGTGTATCATACAGATAGAATATTCACATAAAATAATAAAAGGAGGAGGTAAGGTGAAAAATCTTAGGCAAAATTGGAAATTTATCTAGCGAATAAAGGGACACAACAATGAATTGAGAATCCATCCACCTCATGTCACTTATTAAGATTTAACTACATGTTTGCTAGAGTAGGAAAAGTATATACCCCAAGGACCATCACTATTCTAGAGAGGGTCTGTACAGAACTCCTAATAGGCCATAATTGCTAAAAACTGTATTTTAGGCTTTTGAGAACCATAAAATTGATTTAAAGAATGGTTTCAAAGGGTAAAAAGAGAAATGCATGACAATTAAAGACATGCAATTAAATTAGTTTGTCTCTAACTGCCTCTTAATAATTAAGAGTTCATGCTTGGCAAACTCCCATAAAAATAGATTTAAATTTAAGACAGTGTGAGTAAACTAGTAGAAACCCACACATAAGTCCTCAAAATGATGGACAACCATTCAAAAAGTGGAAGACCCAGGATCAGTGAAACCTAATTCTAAATGATAAGTGTATGATTATTCTGGATTTAATTTATATTTGCTGGGTTACTTGGTTTTTCCCATTTAGTAGTATTTTAAGAGTATTCTATTTATTTAAGTTCCTAGAGTAGCTATAGTATATCCAGTATATAGACCAATAGTTAAACACTCCTAGAGGTAATAAAGCCTTGTATGAATGGAGAGGGAGAAAAAAAAAAAAGGAGCAACAGCTCAGGTCAGGTTTTGGAACAAGAATTCATCAATAGAGCCTAATAATCCCCCATGCTGGCAGGTGGGGTTTAGGGGAGGAAGATGAGAAGGGAATAAGCCTCTATAGATGGATAAGAAAAACATATCTAGTTTCAAAACTTCCTGGGCTTCTTGATATTCAACTCCTGCTGCACCAGGAGCATTGCATATACCTGCGGAAAGCAAACCGTTGTTCCTCTGGTTCTGGTCAAAAGTCTTTAAGCATAATGCTGCCTATTCCTACAGATCCTTCCTCTCCCAAACTGTGGACCTGATCAGCCTAAGAGACGGGTTCTTTCAGTGCTAGAACTGCGGGAACATGGCCAAGTCATGGAAAACACCCACGCTTTATGTCAAAATCATGCCACACATTCTCCACAGCACCTAATTGGTGGCCCTGATTTTCAGCATTCCGCAGTTTACACAAAAAATCCATTTTCCTACATTTACCAAAGGGCATGACTGTTCTTTAAAAATGATTCCTAGCCGGGCTCGGTGGCTCAGCCTGTAATCCCGTGCCTTTGGGAAGCTGAAGTGAATGCACTGCCGGAGCCCGCGGGTTCGAGACCCGCCTGGGCAGCGAGACCTCATCTCTACAATAAATCAAAAAATCAGCCGGGCGTGGTAGCGCATGCCTGTAATTCCGGCTACTTGGAAGGCTGAGGCGGAAGGATCGCCGGAACCCAGCAGGTCGAGGCTGCGGTAGCCGGGAGTGGCCACTGCACTCCAGTCTGGGTGATAGAGTGAGACTCCAACTCAAAAAAAAAAAAAAAAAAGATTCCTTATCACATCAGTGTATCCATAATGACATCGCCAAATTATAATAAAATGCCTGTTATTTCTTTGAACTAAATAATAATTTAAATATTAAAAATAAACATAAATATTACAAAGAGTAATAATAAAATTGACAGAGTCCTGATAGATCTTAAAAAAATAATAATTTAATTGGAAGCCTCCATCACAACTGTCTGAAATTTGTTTTTGCATTATAAACTTGTAAGCATTTTACTCAAACCAATTTTCTTTACGTAAAAACTTAATAGTGTCATCAAAACCACATTGATACAGGGATTCCATTTTTCTCTTGCTTGGGGGAAAAAGGGCTTGGTTAAGCCTCACCAGGTTTGCCAGAGACAACTAGAATAGAAAGACAGAAATTTAAGCTGTAGGATATTACCATACTGGTAAATGTATGCTATTTTTATAATCTAAGTTTTCTTATCATAGACACAATTAGTAAGAACAACAAAAAATCAGTAGAAAAATGTAAACTTAAGAAGTTACTTCTGCCGGGCTCGGTGGCTCAGCCTGTAATCCCGTGCCTTTGGGAGGCTGAGGTGAGTGGATTGCCTGAGCCTGTGGGTTCAAGACCCGTCTGGGCAACTCGGCGAGACCTCATCTCTACAATAAATCAAAAATCAGCCGGGCATGGTAGCACACGCCTGTAGTTCCAGTTGCTTGGAAGGCTGAGGCGGAAGGATCGCCAGAGCCTGGCAGGTTGAGGTTGCGGTGGCCAGGAGTGGTCACTGCACTCCAGTCTGGGTGATAGAGTGAGACTTCAACTCAAAAAAAAAAAAAAAAGTTACTTCTACCCATAGACTATAGAAGGGTTTCTCCGTCTTGGTTCTATTGATATTTTGGACTATTACTTTTCTGTCATGGAACTGTCTTGTGTATTGCAGGACATTTAACAGTATCCCTGGATATGCCAGTAAAATCCCCAAGATATGACAACCAAAAATGTCTGTGTACAATACTGCCCCATATTGAGAACTATTAGACTAGATTAGAGGAATCAATATTTTTATGTTAATTATTCATTTGAGTCTAAGTTTTCCTTCAATATTTTAAATATTTTGCTACTCCACATTTCTGAACAAATAAATGATCTAGTTTAAAATCACTCTGATAGTCTATCAAGTTTATTATTGTGAAAAATAAGTGAAGACAAAGAAAATATTACACAAATTGACAGTTAATCAGCAGCAAAAGGAATTTATACTGACTGTCCATAGGCACCCAGGCCTCTATGCATGATAAATGTTGTAAAGTATAAAAAACATGCTATTGAGAAGATGTAGTCATACACACAATTACCAATGAGCTTCCAGTGTTTGGAAAACATGTTGAATTCCACGGTATTTTTAGTAGATTAAGACTCTACGAATATCACTAAACATAATTACTCACCATTATATCCTGTTTGGCAATATTAACATACAGATCCAGCTGCCCTTTCTCCTGTGGGGAGATGTCCAGTCGTCCGCTGAAGGGGGAGATGGTCACTGTCCGGCCAACAGGCAGGATGGGAAGGCTATTGGTGAGGCCCCCATCCACCCACTTCTGTGGGAAGAAACACCCCAATTACACACATAAATGACATGTCCCACACGAAGAAAAGGAGTGTGGCTTTCTCAACAGGACTTTCCTTCTAATAAGAGCCATGCCTTGGATATGCTCTTAAATTACTATTTCTGAGGACTAATCTGACTGGGAGTCTGTTCTGGGGGCAAAACAAGCCCTCGTACACAGATCATGTACAAATACAAGAACAAATCTTGATATAATAAGGATATTGCCCAAATAAAAAACAAAAATTAAAAATAAAAGCTTTAACTAGATTATTATACATAAGATGTGCCTAAATTCTTACTGATTACAGTGCATGTCTAAGAAATGATTTATAATTAGGTTGTGGCTCATTATTTAATCAAAGTGGAAAGTCAAGTTTACTGTAGGCACTGAACAAAACATCCACAATTAGAAGTAGTTCCATTTTTAGTGTAAGAATTGAAAATTGGCAAACTTAAAAATAAATACAACAACCAGAAACCTTTCCAGTTCCAAAGTGGCTCCCATCCATGCCCATGACACAAGGGGAATATGCTGAAGCCAGAGAGAATGGGAGTGCTGTATGAAAAACAAACATTCCTCAGAAGGGATTTGGTGCTCTCAAACCCACCCCCAAAGGAGAGTGATGGAAGGAGAGAAGAGGAAAGAAGCCTCCCCAGGAAGAAAATACAACAAGGTCTTGGGGCAGTGAGGAGGAATGATGAGACATTCAAGGTGTGTGCAGCCTCGACCCCATACTCTAGAGAACTATATGCTGAGAGATGTTGACAGAAGAACCACAAAGACAATATCCCTTCAGCTATCTATTCCAAGGCAAAAAAATCTCAACATATCCAAGAGCCTATGTAGCCACACGATTAGCTGTAGCAAACAAAAAACACACACACAGAAGTGAAGTCCAAATTCTCTAAGTTATAGCTGTTACTAAAAATAGTCTTCAAATAAAGTATTTTTTTAAAAATGTCTGGTAATGGTTGAGAATCTCTCATGCAAGAGTCTTTAGTAGAGATGTTTGTAAACTGAGTTTCACTTGAATATGTGAAGTACAAAGTAGGTAAAGTTTTGCTCTTCAATGTGAAGGTGGAGTGAGTAGGGAGAAACAGGTCAGTATAAAGTACTCTCAACTCAGTTAAAAATAATTCATTCATTTCTTCTAAGGCATCTCTTTTCATGTCATTCTTTCTTGTTTTTAATGTCTAAAACTGCTAATGAAATGATTGGAATAACATTATTTACAAAGGCCTTGGCCAGCCATCAACTCCTCCAAAGGAAATAAAAGGTAAATTCATAAAAAATAAAAATGAGTCGAAAATTTCTTTTAAGGGAATTACATTTTGGTGGAGGAGAAAGTAGATTGGATTAAAATAAAACTGACCTGGATAAATTGTATATTGTCATTATTTTTCAAGGAATATAACATAATTATAATATATTATATATATTATATGGACATATACTTATTCATATTTATATCTGTGTATACATATATACATGTTTGTGTACATATATGTTTCTACATGTATGTATATACACACACAAATACACATGCATAGCAGATTATATATAAGTGTAATCTAAAAGAGGGAGATTTGCAAAAAGAAGGCCTCAAAATATTTTATTCTGTCCCAGAACTTGTTTTCTTTGACTTGATTGCTTTATATATAATACCAAATTCTGGGATAGGATAATACCCAGAGGAAAAGAAAGACACCTTTCAAAATTATCACATAATGTCAATAAGAACCTGTTATCAATGATGTGAAAATTCACATAGGTTTCATCAAGGAGAATTAAACATATGTCATATAACTTTAAATAATAGCTCATCTGACTTATTCAAATTAATGAAAAGAAGGGCAATCTGCCTCATTAAATTGAAAAGTGTTCTAATTTACTATGGTGTTAATGACTGCTGTTTCAGGGAATCAAAAATTCTTTCTCCAAATTCTGTTCACTCTTGTTAGCTTATTCTGATTGGATAAATGATGAGAGAAAATATATAACTTATCAAATGACTTGATTAAATTTGCAATGATACTGGCTCCTCTACAATCCATGATGCTGTAACCCCACCAGCTCAGATAATCTAAACGTGGTATATCTTAACTCTTGATTTATGCTGTCATGAGCTGTATCATGCAGAACAACCACACATTCATTCAGGCATGCAGATTCTAGCAAAATTTCTGCAAACGACAATCACTGCAACAAATATTCCTCAACTTCCAAATTAAAAGTAGAAACATTTTAGATCTTGTGTTCTACTGATAGTTTAAAATCTTGCTTATTAAATATACTGTCCATGAATTTTCTGGCTGTTGGCATCTAGCGTTGCAAGTCATTTCCACATTATAGCCTCATGGGCAGCATTCTATGTGCAGGTAGCTACTGTGAACAAGCTTCTATGATTCCAAAATTGTCCTTGAGAGAAATAATGCTGCCCTACCCTGATAGAGTTTTGCTATGTATTTGCTAGTTTTCATCACATAACACCACCATCCTCAAAGGAAAGGGGGAGGCAAGGCACATCAAAATTCCAGGGCAAAATGTGTTTCAAAATCAAATTGGCTGCTGATCCTACCGCTACCATCTATCAATCCCACTGCTTGTCCTACCATCTTTTCTTCAATCTCTGGCCATATTCTAAGCATGCTCCACATTAGAGTTAACACCCGAGTCCAAAGAGTTATAAATAAACAGCTGCTCAATAGAAAAAGAAACTCATGCCAAATTTTGAGGCAGATGTCCACTGTGACTCTGTCTAAAAATTACAGCAATGAAAACCCCGATTCAGGGAATTACTTCTAAAGAGACAAGGGTAACTGTTATACCTAAACAAGGTAGATTATTCATCTGTCTGTACTTGTTAAATTTTGGTTTATACACTGATGTATTTTGGGTACCTATTAAGAACATGCTTTATGAATTCAAGCAACTATTACTATATAATTTAAACAAAAAACAACTTTAAAAACCTGAGTAGTTAATCTGTAGGCAATGGGCCTACTTTTTCATTTGGCAAGTACTCCCTAAGTATCCAGCATGTGCCTGGATGTGTGTTAAGACACTGTGGATGTGTTCATGATAGAACCTCAATGCACGACTCAACATCCTTGAGGTGTATTTTATTCAAAAAACAAGTGAATAGAAATTACTTTGTTTAAATAATGAATAAGACATTGTTATCTATAATTATAAATACCATGGCATAGGGCCTGATGATTTATAAAGCAATTTCTCATCTATCATTTAATTTGATGTCTTAAAGAGCCCTGTAAGTTAGGAAGGTCGTGCTGGTTTATTCAGTTCCCTCATTTTACAGAAGAGGAAATTGGGACGTGCAGAATTACTTGCTGTAGGTCAGATGTTGGTAAACTATGGTCTGCCATCTGCTTCTGTAAACAAAGTTTTACTGGCACACAGCCATGACCTTTTGTTTATGTATTGCCTAAGGTTGCTTTCCTTCTACAGTAGCACACATGAGTAGGTATGTAATGCTGAAGGTATTTAGTATCTGATGTTTTATAGGTAAATTACAGAAAATACATTATTTACTGTGGTACAGCATACCATTCAATTCATATTCGTTCAATTCATATTTGTTTTCACATACAGTAAAATGTAGTAATGCTCTCTGAGGGCAGAAAAAGTCTGAGTTGTTTTCTAAGGGTTGAAGGAGAGGTGAATGTGGTTTGAAAACCAGTTGTATATTTGTAAACATATCTTTGTTGCTTTCGTGATATAGGCTACAAATAGTCATGGCTAACAGAACATTCTTGATTAGCAATTCTTAAAACAGAGGGGAGAGTGAGAAAGAAATAAGAAAATACCCACCTACCAGGACATAGGTGAGAATCTCTCATAAATGGTGGGGAGAAGACACAGCTGAGATTTTATAATCATAAGGAGACAAGCTAACATATAATTCTAAAAAAGAAGTTGAAAAATCCTGCCATACTAACCTCTAATAAATACTGATTCTCGGTACATTGCTGGTTTTCTTGCTTTTTGAATATCTGTAGGTTGATCCAAAGCAATGACTCTTGATACCCAATTTTGAGAAGACTCTAAAGAGTGATTTGGCAGCTGACAATCTATAATCACTGCAGAGAAATTATTCCCTGAAAGTCTCACATGTTGTTTTAAAAAAATTAAATAGATAATAAAAAAAAGTATAAAAAGTCACTAAAAAGTAAGAGCTTCTATTTCATAGTAACTATAAATTGATACCCAGCTTTTCATCTAGCCAAATCTAGCTGGTAGTGAGGCCAGCAACCACTGCTTCTATGACAGCAATGGAGCTAGGTTTCCATGTGAAAAGTTTGAGCCACAAAGAAAAATGGAGCCAAAGGACCACAGTAATAACTTTATATAAAAACACAATTACACAGAGTATTCCACAATTCTCTTCCCTATAGATATGTAAGTAATGAAAGGATTAAAAATCCATAATACCAAAGCTTCAATGGACTAGGATAATACAATGAAAATTTTCTGTATACGTTCTTGTAACAATATAGAGTTAAAATATTACTTGAATTCTAACTCAGACAAAAGAAAACAACACAAAATCTTGCAACTTTTCTTTTGATCTGCATATATCAGTTCTGGAGATGATTCTAATATTTTAGTCACCTGCCAATGCTAATAGTGTCTCTTAACAAAATTAAGTAAGAATTCCTCTTGAAAATGTTCTTTCTTGTTCCAAATTGATGACAAGAACCTGTGAAAACATGGCCTAAATGTGTGAACATTCCTATGGCTCATTCTATCAGTTGAAAGAGTTCATATGGACTGAAAAATATTCATTAGTGAAAAATATAAGACTTCATTTTATTTCCATTCATTCATTGATTCAGCTATTAATGAGTATCCACTACAAGTAAGGTGCTAAAATAGTTATAAGATAAATACAGAGAAAGCTATAAAAACTTTAAAATCTGGTAACACCAGATGTGGAAACATGGAGGTCTGTGTTAAATACAAATGTC